TTGCACTTATCCTTCTTTGATAACTGTTTTTAGCCCTCTAATTTTCATGTTAATACTTTATTGCTGACAGTTTTTATTTTCTGACCCAAAGTATAAAACAAATTTTATTTCATTTAATATCCATAATTTTCTTCTCTTGCTCTAACACACATGTCACATGGCATTTGCAATTAGAAATTTGGGTGTCCTTTCTGCTTTCTGGATAACCATGTTTCTTAATTTGTGTCTGTACATTCTATACATACTAACTATAACTTTATTCTGTGTAATTTGGGGAATGTAATAATGGCAATGCATTAAATCACATTACTTTTTGTAATATGTCTTTTCTAGTTGTGAAATATGGAGTTTAAAAATCACAATTATTGAAAAAAATCACAATTATTGACTACAATATCTGTCACACTGTGATTTCTAATACACAAATATAATTGTTATAAGTAATCTGCTTTGAAGAAAAACTAAAAGTCATACAAAGTACTAATAAATTCTAATAACATATTATGTTTCTAATAATTTTTTTTTAAAGATTTATTTATTTGTGCGTACAGAACTGGGATACAGGCCAGAGGCTCAGGGGCGGCTTCACCAGAGACAGAGTGGGGAGCAAAACAAGCAGGTCAACGAAGCACACTGCTGAGGGGAGCAGCAGGCGGGTTAGGAGAGGTCTGCCATGCCACGTGGTCACCTCCGGGGCAGGTGGGGATCAAACTCATGCGGAAGTGGCTTTAGCTTCTCAGTGCTGTGCTTTAACCCGCTGCTCCACCAGGGAGGGCCCACTGATAATGTTTTATTGCCACAGTCCTTTCAATTACTGGCTTACATGTATTAAATATAGAAGGCATCTTAAATTCTTTGAAGAGGTAGACCTCATGTAATAATTATTTTTACTGTTATAAGTACATATATAGATAACATTTATTTAGCTCTGAATATGTATTAATTACGATGATAGGTAATTTATAAGATTGGTCTTATTTTATTATCATAACAAATTAATAATGTAGGTACAAAATCAAGCCTGGAACACAGTTCTATTGGACTCAAAGACCACATAAATAGCCAATGCTATCTTGACTCTAATAATGAATATCCAACATCCCCCAAAAATCACTTAAAATTTTTTATATCTTTTATTTATAGCAACATTCTTACTCTGATTTAATTTGCTTTACATCCTGAAAGCAATGTTAATATAAGTAATTGTATTAAATACAATCTTTTTAAAAATTTAATGCTTCATATTAATGTATTTGTCACCATGTAGTTACTGAATTTGTATAAAATTTATCAATTATTGGGCCCTCCCTGGTGGCCCAGCGGGTTAAAGCACTGCACTAAGAAGCTTAAGCTACTTCCACATGAGTTCCCCGCCTGCCCTCAGGAGATCCACATGGCATTGCAGACCTCCCTTGACCCACCTGCTGCTCCCCTCAGCAGTGTACTTCGTAGATCTGCCTGTTCTGCTTCCCACTCTGTCCCTGGTGAATCCTCTCACCCTCCACATCCCTGGCCTGTACCCCAGTTCTGTATGAATAAATAAATAAATCTTTTAAAAAAATTATCAATTATTGCTCATTTGTCAGAGGAATAAATACCAAACAACTTTTTAGAAATTAATTTATCAGTCATTACGTGTGTGTGTATAAATGTACCCTCAAGGTTTTATATATGTGTATATATATGTATACATATATGAAAATGTATTATGAAAATGTGTGTGTGTGTGTGTATATATACATTTTCATACCTCCATATGTTTAGATGCTCCTCTCATCCTCCACCAAACTCCAGTGTTATCCCCTTGCTTCCCATCTCCTCTTCTCGCTCCTTCCTGTTCCCATGGTAATCTGTTATATTTTTTCAGTCTAAGAATTAGATCTGCTTTGCTTTGCTTTGCAGGTATGTGTTCTTTTGTCATTTATATTTCAAAAAATGTAAAACCATCAAGTATCTGTCCTTCACATTTTGACTTATTTGACTTTTCATAATCACCTCAAGATCTATACATTTTGTTCCCAAAAGCATTATTTATCTTTTAAGTAATATTTCACAATTTCTGTATCTAGTCACCTCTCATTGACACTTAGGTTGGCTCCATGACTTGGCTGCTGAAGATAATGCTTCTGCGAGCATAGGAGTGCATAAATGTCTTCAGACTGGAGTCTTCCTATTTGTTCGGTAAACACCTAGCAGTGGGACTACTGGATTATTTGGTGTTTCTATTTTTATTTTTTAAAGAAATCCCCATACCACTTACCCTAGAGAATGCACCTAGCCTTGTGTATCTATTTCCCTAAATTTGGGAAATACCCAGCTATACTTTGAATAGAGTCCTGTTCCCATCCCTCTTTTTTCACTTTCTGGAATAGCAAGTATTGAGTCTTCCGTTTCTTGAAGAATTTCTTCACTTTTCCTAAATCGTCTTTCTCCTCTTCCGTTTGTATGTTCCATTTGGATGATGCATACATTTGTGTCATCTATTCCTAAAATTCTCTCTTCCACCAGCTTAATTATATTTAAAATGCTTTCCATATTTGCCCTCATTCCATTCAATATCTCTTTTTATGTTCTTTTTATATCTTAAACTTTTTAGTGAAGAACTCTTTTGTTTCTGGATTTCCTTTCTAAGATCTTATACCTGCCTTTCTCACTTCAACTCTCCTTCCAGTACCTCATTTTGCATTTTTTATATTATTCTAAAATCTTTATCAAGTCTCCTCTTACTGTGTCCTTTATTTGTCTCTGGATTTCTAATTTGTTTCCTACTTGCCCACTTGTGTTCAGATTTTTCTGACTTTTTAGACATGTGTGTTGTCTCATTTGCATGTTTGCAGTTGTGGAATTGTGGGCTTGGTTTTGCTTGTTTCTCTTTGTCTACCTGGAGGCTGGTGGAATGGGGGTAATGAGAAACAGGGGCTCAAAAAGCCTCAGACCTATCAAAGAGTGAGGACAGCTCAGGTTGGTAAATCACCTTCTCAACTCTTCCTCAAATCATTCATGCAGTGTGCTTCAGGAATCCTTTATTCCCACCCAGCCTCTTTGCTGTTCTTCTCTGTGATGTGAGCATTTTTCACTAAACTTGAGTCACTTGGCAAGAAGCAGCAGGTATCATAGATAGAGCACAAGCAGCCAGACACAGACTGCCTTTTGCTATCTAGCAGAGGCCACCAGGAATGGACTAACTGTCCCAAATTGTCTAAGAAAATGGCCACTTTTGCCAGGTGAAAGGCCCAGGCTGCCAGGCACCATGAATAATTCACTTGGATCTTTTTTGCAGGGAGTGGAGAAAAAATTTTCTAACCTACATTGCCCTTCCGCCCAGCTTTACACTGTTGAGCCCAGAGCAGGTGTGCAGAGCACTGTTTCCTTTATTTATTCTTTCTGATGGGAGGATAGGGAGCTTCACTTGCCCACTCCACCAGTAGCAAACCCCCCAAACCTTAACCCACTGACTGCATGGATGCATGCTGTCTGTAGCACTCCCTCACTGAAAAGTTCCTTTAATAATATGCACTGTGCCCAGAGGACCAGTGCCCAGAGGACCAGTGACCATCCCCAGCCTGTTCAGCTGCCCCACTGCAACCTCCTTTGCCTCTTCAACTCACCATCCCTGGAGCAAGCAAACAACCTTTGCACAAAACTTTCTGAAATTCCTCATTCTCTGTTGATGATCTTTTGTATCTTCCTTTGAGCTAAGTTTGTTCTAGTTTTATTTTTTCAGTTCAGTTTGAGGGAGGAAATAATCCTAGTCTTTCTATTCCACTACCTTGCAGATAGACTCTTCCCAGATCAGTTTTTATAAGGTTTAGTTAGAAGAAATACAGATCAATGGGGCCAAGTTGTAACATTCATCAGTGAGAGAAAATGATAAAATATTAAATTATTAAATTTAATGCAAGTTCAGTTTGTAAAATTTGAACATAGGCATGTGCATGTTTTACTTCAAAAAATGTCATTTTTGTAAGACACTCGATATTTTTTCAGTTATTGAAAATTATTGATCTTAAAATAGTTGACCCTGGCCCTCCCTGGTGGCGCAGCGGGTTAAAGCACAGCACTGAGAGTCTGAAGCCACTTCCGCATGAGTTCGATTCCCGCCTGCCGCCTGCCCCGGAGGAGACCACATGGCGAGCCAGACCTCTCCTGACCCGCCCGCTGCTCCCCTCAGCAGTGTACTTCGTCAATCTGCCTGTTCTGCTCCCCACTCTGTCTCTGGTGAAGCCTCTCACCGTCCCTGAGCATCTGGCCTATACCCCAGTTCTGTATGAATAAATAAATAAATCTTTAAAAAAAAAAAAAAAAGTTGACCCATGGTGTGTCACCCTGCATGTCCTGTGTGTCATCCTGTGGCACCATAGTTTGTCACCCTGTTATTTCAGGTTTTCAAAACTTAATTTTCTAAACCTGTAAATTAAGAAATTTCAGATACTATCTAAAAAATGAAATCATCAGTGACTACACATGTATTTTATAAGATTTATAATCTGTATAAGAAGATTCATAAAAATTGCTTGTGAAAATTTTCTCAAATTTCAAAACCTGATGTAATTACACTGGTTTATATTTCTCAAATATTTATTTATTTCATTCAATAATATTAAATTTTAGTATCTCTCTGATATGTTGATGAGTCTATAAAAGTATAAAAACTATATTCCCTCTTCTGTTTTAAAAATCTTTATTAATAGACAACATTGATTTACATATCTAAGCTTTAATTGAATTTTCACTCATAACATTCAACACTATTGTAGTTAGCTCTATTGTTTGTAGAACTCTTTCATGTTAACTCATTTTCAGGATGCTTGATTATTTAGATTATCTCCCCTATCTTTAAAAATTATATGTGAAAGAATTATTTTGTAACAAATTCTTTGTAACTTTAAATTATTTTAGCTAATGTTCTGAAGTTCCAGAAGCTACCTAGAAATTTTTTAATAAGAAACTTTTTAAGTAATTTAATTCAAATTTTGTAAAACATTTTTTTTGTATTGCAGGTATTGAAGCAGAAAAACACAGTAAAAAGCAAAAAGAAAGAAATGTCACCACACAGGTTAATATTTTACTAAAACATTGCATTTCTCCTAATAAAAAAATATAGGCTATATAAATTATTAATTATTTTTATTCAGCATGTTTAGAATTTCTTGTACTAGTTAAGCATTGACTATTACTACTATTCTTATTTTTTTAAATCTCAAGATTTTTTGTCACTGACGTTTATTGATTCTCCTAGAGAACATAAACACTGTTATCAGCCTTGAGTCTTCTTATAACCCATACCTGGTCCATGGTCCAAAATATTAAGAAAAAAAGGATAATGATGAGTATGTATTATAGTCACAGATGCTTTTTAAATTTCACTAATCTTATGACATATTCTGACATTTTAGAAGTAGATGGTTTAACATTTCAGCACTTGTAGTTTTGTAAATACAAGTTATTTCCTTTACTGAAACCCTGTAGTGATGTTCCACCCTCTGCACTAAAACCAGTGTCAAGCCTATTAGGCTTCATGGTTTGGGCCCACCTTTTATCCAGTAACTCTACTGACCCTTCCAGATACACTGGACTCTGCATTTGTCCTCAGAAACTGCAGGCAGGAGACCATCTTTCTGCAGATATTTGTATGGCTCCATTCCCTGACTACTTGCTCAAATGTCATTTCTTGGTGCTTCCTTCCTTTCTCACCATTATCACTTTCTCTAAAATTGCAAACCCATCACAATACTTACTACCTCCCTTCCATGCTATGTTTTTCTTCTCCTAATTAACATATAACATACTGTATTTTTGTTTTGCTTATTGTCATTTAATCTCCTCTAGAATATAAACTCCATGAGAGTAGAGGTTTGGATCTGTGCTGTTCATTACTCCCAACAACTCTTCCAGTATCTGGCATATAGCAAGCACTCAATAAGTATTTACTAAATTAATGAATAAATCTTAAATATAAATTAAAGGGGTAAGCTCTGGAAAATATTTATATTAAATTAGAAAATGGTCGATGCCCACTTCTCAGAATCCTCAAACAAATAAACAGCCAAAACACTATAATTGGATAACAACACTATCATTAACTGGGTCATAAAGATTGGAGAAGACTGCATTTTAGAGTTAACAAACATATTCTCAGACTTTAGTTGTAGATTCATGTTATTTTATCTATTAAGGTAGGGGAGGAGTAGGATAAGAATTAGCAATCACCACTGTCCAGACTTGTGAAATAAAAATTTTTTTTTTTTGCCAGCTGAGGTTCTGAGGAACAATATTGGTAAAAATTAATTATTGTGCAATATTAACTTTGGTAAAATAAAATAATTTCTTTAAAGAAGCATATATAAATTAAAGATTCCTTTCTACATTGCTGTATTATATAAATATTTCCAAATTTTGTCCTCTTCATTACCTTAACTACCACATCTTGTAGTTAAAATGGAGTTATAAAATGGATTAAAGATCTGGATATAAGGACAAAAATCCTAAATTATTTTAAAGAAAACAGGGGACACACTATAAAACATCTACCACAAAGATATACTTGGGGACTCAAACCCAATGGCAAGAGAAACTAACACAAACATAAACAGGTTGGATTGCTTTAACCTGTTTGTTCCTTCCCACTGCTGGAGAGGGAGAGGGATCAAAACAGGGGAGGGAAGAGTGTAAGAGACTATGGTGATTATGCACAGGTAAATTGTTGCATACAGGGACTACGTCTGAGAGGAAAAAGCACACATTGTATGAAAATGAATGATGTAAAATATAAATAAACAAATAAAACTTTGTTCTTCAAAGAAACCATCACACATGCACACTTATACAGGCAACCTACACAATGGGAAAAATGTTTGTACATCATACATCTGAGGGGGCTAAACTCCAAAACTTCAAAGTTCTTATACAATCCAACAACAACAAGCAACTTAATCAAAATATGGGCAAAAAAGACCTAAATAGACAATTTTCTAAAGAAGACATTCAGATGGCATGTAGACATAAGAAAAATTGTTCAACATCCCTTACTATAAAGGAAAATCAAAGCAAAAAAAAAATGAGATATCACTTAACCCCTGTGAGAAATAGCCCATATTAAAAAAAATAAAATCAACAAATGTTGGTGAAGTTGTGGTAAAAAAGCAACTCTAATCTTCTGTTAATAACGTATGAATGTAGGATGGTGCAGCCCCTGTGGAAAATGGTATGAAATTTCTTAACAAAATAAAAATGGAAATTCTGTATAAGCCAGCAATATCTCTGTTAGGTATTTATCCAAATTACATGAAAACTCTAATATGAAAAGATTTATCTATTCCTATATAATAATAACACTGTCCACAACTGCCAAGTCATGGAGTAAACTTACATGTCTTCCATAGATGACTCAATAAAGAAATTAGAATACATATTCAATGGAACATGTCACAACTGTACCAAAAAAAAAAAGAAAAAGAAAAAGAAATAGTGGCATTTGGAACAAAATGAATGGAGCTTGAGGTGATTACATTAAGTTTAATAAGTCCAAAAGTGAAAAATATCAGATGTTTTCATTCATCTGTGAAATATAAATAAAGTAAAAAACACTCACAGGCAAAAAGGTAGTAGGACTAAATCTTGAACTCAGTGAAAAATATAATGTTTACCATAGGAAACCGGGTGGGGGGGGACTTGGAGATGAGTGGAACATGGAGTCAGTACATAAAAAAAAAAAGTTGTATCAGTGGTATAGCTGGATCAATATTAGATCCATTTCTAGTGAAAGCTCCATACATAAAGGAATTTTTCAAATTCTTTACATGGCTCCATGTCCTTGCATACTCTATCCTCTGTGTTATTGTGTTGATATATTTGCTAGTATATAAGGCATTAAGCATACCAGAAAATCTTGGAGGAGGGAAATTTAAATTGTGATACTGGAAAGAAAAAAAAAAGAAGCAAACCACTAAAAATCTAGGAAGTAGTAGTTGACAAAGAAATTTTTTTTAATCTTCAATATAATTTTCCCTGAAATGTATTTATGAAAATTGTGACTATGTAACTCCATAACATTTTTAAACTCTCTCTTCATGTCTGCATTATTTTCTACTACTCAAAAACCAATGCCTTCTAAGCCTTCTTCCTAATTAAAGTAGATTAATGATATGAATTCTGGAGAACATGCTAGACATTTTTTTTTACATTTTCCTTCTATCTAATCATAAGATTTGCTGTACTTTCTACCCATTATATGTTAGTTGTAATGTGCAAGGCATACTAACACTAATTTTTTTTTTAGTTCACACAATTGATATTACCATGACAACTTACCAGTAAGAACAAAATTGGTTAAATTCTCCTGCTATTTTTATAACTTCTAGGTTTAACACTTGGCTCTACAGTTCAGATTAAAATGCAATAGGTTTAAAAGATTTTTACTCATAAAAGACATGAATTCTTGGGCTCTTCCTGGTGGGGCAATGCGTTAAAGCTCAGCACAGTTTCAATCCCTGGCGAAAGAGGTGATCCACGTGGTATAGCAGACCTTTCCCGTCTCACCTGCTGTTCCCCTCAGCAGTGTACTTCATTATTCTGCCTCTTCTGCTCCCCACTCTCTCTAGTGACTCCTCTCACTTACCCTCTAACACCTCACCCCCTGCACTTCTGGCCTGTACCTCAATATGTATAAATAAATAAATCTTTTTTAAAAAACATGAATTCTTAAACTAAAATAAATCATCATTTTGATTTGAAAATGTAGGAACTATGTTGACCACATCAAGCTACTATTTTGCTTTAATAGACAAATCTTTCACTTTGCTATTGTTTAAGAAATTACATATAGATAGTGAGTGAAAATATTTTTCTTTGTAGGTACCAGTAAACGAAATGAAACAACTTTTATCGCATGTATTGGAACGAAGGAAATTGAGTAAAGCAATCAACAAAAGAGAAAATCTGTTAGAAAAAAGGAATCAGCATAAATTAAGAATAAAAGGAATTCAATATAAAGATTTCTCAAAAAGAAACAAAAATCATTGTAAGTAGAATTCCCTCTTGCATGTAAATTAAAAACTTCATGTAATCTAAAATCCGATTTTAGAGCTAATTTCTGGGTTATAATCATAAATATTTACAATACAATTTTTCAACTTTCTGTCCCCCATCTTAAATTTGAATTTGTATTGATAATAATAAGCATAGTTGATGATTAGAATGCCTATATTTGAAATCTCCAAAACTATGTGGATAAAACATTTAGCACATATTCCAATAGAAACCATCTATTTTTTTAATTGAGATTAATATAGTGCTTTCCTTATCTAATCTAGCAATCTAAAACTCTCCTTTGTAAAATCATTCCTGATAAACTGATACATTTCTCTGGATCTTAGAAGAGTCTTGAAACACTAAACAATGTCCCCGTAGATTTTCTGTGCAGGATGTAACTGGTGAACAACTATAAAATGTAATAATAACTTTAAACACATTTAAGTCTGATACATAAAAGCTTTTTCTTTTCTAAAAGATACATGTGAATTTCCAATTTAATAACATCTTATTTAAGAAAGGGAAACATCTTTGGCAGAAAAGGTTAAGAGTATCAGTTTTTTTAATAACATATTAAAGTCTAAATCACATACATAGAAATACTCAACCATTTTTAAATTTTTCAACAAATTTTTAAAAACAAAAGTTTTCACTTTTATATTTTACCCACCACCATCTCTTATAAACCTCATACTTTCTTCCACTCTTCTCTCTTAACCTAGTTACTTTGTTTTGTTAAATTGCCCACTGTAAATATTTATTGTCTTTGTCATTCCAACTTGCTTTACTGTACATAATTCCCTCAAACTGCTACTATTTTGCTGTAAGTGGCAAAATGTCATCTTGTCAGCCCTAAGTATAAATTGATAGCCATTGTATCAGTTAACTTTTTTTTTAAAAGATTTTATTTAGTTATGCTTACGGCACTGGGGTACAGGCCAGAGGTGCAGGGGCAATGAAAGAATTCACCAGAGACAGAGTGGAGGCAGAACAGGCCGACTGTCGAAGTACATTGCTGAGGGGTGTAGTGGGTGGGTCAGGAGAGGTCTGCTGCCATATGGATCACCTCCAGGGTGGGGATCGAACTCATGCTGAAGTGGCTTTAGCTTCTTAGTGTGGTGCTTTAACCCACTGCGCTACCTGGGAGGGCCCAGTTAACATTTTTTTTAACATGGAAACATGATGGGCATTTATTTTGCATAGGCCTTCTGATTGGCATTTCTAAAACAAACAAACCACACTCAAGCAGCATCATCTATGACTTCTCATCTCACATTTTTACTTAAATGAGAAATAAAAACATTTATCAAGCAGTTTGTTAACAGAATCCTTCAGTATATTTACAGATTTTTCCCCCAGTTATATATAGAATTTTCACCTACAACTAAATTGGATAATTGTAGTGACTCACCTATATTAAACTTTTTCATAGTAATTCATTTACTTTATAGAGAAACACATTTCTCTCTGTATTTATCTTTCATGAGTTTACATATTGTTTAGCTGAGTTCTATAAGTGTAACAGTACAACTGGTATAAACAGATATGAGGAAAAGCTCTCCTGATTTTAGAATCATACAAAGGATGGGAAATAAATATGCACATGTGTACTAAAGAGAAGCCCACTAGCTGCACGCATTTGGTATATTGTAGACATTATAAGTTAGATGGAAGAAATGAAAAGCTTTGATTAACTTAGCCAATAGGTAGAGGTTGTTGAAGAGAGAACTTTAGCTGTTTAAGTCCAGTTCAAATATGGAAGTTGTTATTTATGCCTAGTAATAATAATAAACTACTTGAGTTTTTCTTATATTGTTTTAACTGCTTTATTCAATTTAAGAGAGGTTGCTATTGATCCAACTTTATAAGATGTGAAAACTGCAACACAGTTTTTATCTATGAAGCAATTTTTTTAACAACACAAAACTACTATTTAGGAAGGATCTTGAATTTGAGCTTACATGGTCCAGTACAAAATCATCTAGCTCTTACCATTAGACCTCTCACAAAAGCTAACACTATCAAGAAAATTTAATCCTGAGATTCTCAAATAACCTTGAACAAATATTGAACTATGTGATAAAAATGTTACAACTTCCTGTGTACCAATTTTACTAAAGGCTTTAAGGGAATATAAGTACTTATAAAGAACTCAAAGCAGTTTGCTTAAGATTAACAGCAATAACATGTGCAATAGGTTTAAAAATTCACAATTGAATTACCAAACCTAGGACTTTAAAGACATGTCTACTTATATTCTAGACATCTAGGGAGTATAAGTACACTCACCTATGGGCTAGTGCCGCAGGCATCACACTAATCTACCTATAAAAAATGCTTTAAAGATATTTGAGAAATCCTGTCTTACAATAGTCACTATATCCATTCACCAAGATTTATATAAATTAGAAACTGTGTCCTTTTGACAAAAGTAAATATAGAGAAGAGATTACTGCTTATAAGAACAAAGTTAGCAATTGAGAATCAAAGGATTCAAAAGGAGAGATTAGATGTCAGACTGGAAGGACTCAATGATCTTGGCCTCTACCTATTTTATATGAGTCTTACTATGGCAATAATTTTTAAACCTTAATATTTTAAGGAAACTTATCCAAAACAACTGGTTCACTGCTCACTTGAAGAAAGCCTAGGTATGAAATTAAAAATGTTGAAATGCTTATAGTATGAGGTTAGATTTTGATAGGAAACAAATGGCATGTTTAAATTATTTGGGGAAAAGTTTACTAAAGGGACTATTTCTAAAAGTGTAGATAAAATGTAGGGAAAACACAAAGTACTCCTTAAGACAGTAACATAAACATTACCACCCACACCCTAGGTCTGAAGGGTTACAAAGTAGTGTGGTTACTGGAATGTTGCTGTGTGAAAACAAGAAAAATCAAGAAGTACATGCAGAGGGTTCTCAGATAGTTCTATGACATTTGCTCAAGGGAAAATGCTGGCATAAAACTAGATTGGAGAACTGGGAAATAAATATTCCTTCCTGAATCTCTTCCTGCTCTTCATACTTCTTGCTGGTACTGTTTAGACAAACCAAACTAGAAATTTCAGGGGAAGGGAGTCCAATAATATAGTCCATATGGGTTAGGGCCCTAGGGCATAGAAAAATATGGGTGGATCTAGAGAGAAAGGTTTTCCAGATGGGAAACACACTGAATTTTCCAGATGGGAAATTAGAGGTCATGAACTAAAAGAATGAAGAACTTTCCATGGCATGCAATAAAAGCACAGTTATTAAATGCAAAGTTATAGAATTAGAGAAAATAGAGAGCTCTGGAAGATGAGACTAGGTCCTACTTAAAAACCTATGATTAAGCTCACAAAGTAGCTTTAACATTATTTAATACATCTCTTTCTTATAAAACACTTAATTTACTTTAAGTTCCCAATGGTGGTCTTAGATGTTAAATAAGTGTTAACTTATATCAGTTGGAACTATACAAAATAAATCCTTACCAGAGAAAATAATTCTGCCACAGAGAACCATGAAGCTGTTGTTCTACCTTATTGAATACTGTGGTTCATGCATGTTATTTTTTAAGACCCGGTTGTTTATACAACATATTTCTCCTTTAACATTATTCTCCTTTATTATCTGGGATTGTATCTTCCTGGAACACATAAAGGACAAATGTGAAGAGCTGTCCTGATGCATTATTCAAAAATCAGAGAATAAATTTGGTTTATATTAAAATATAATTAAAATTAGATAAGAAGGATATAGTGTCTATGGGGGCAGGATTTTTTTTATAGGAAAAATTTGCCATTTTTATCTTTTATTATCTATTATTTTAATGGTGAAGGAACTATATTTTAGTCAGACAAGATAGTCTTCATCCAGCTAAACTGCTAATTTAGCTCTTAATGATAATTTTTTTAATGTTAATTTAACACTTAATGGTCAGTTATGTAGTTTATGAGGTAACTACAAATTTATTTTCAAAATAATAAACTTAGAGCCAATTGAAAAATTTCTCACTTAAAAGTACAAATCCAGTGTGGCAGTCAGGATTCAACCAAAGGAAGTATATATTAAAGGATTGACTTTTATGATTGCAGGGACTGATTGGGCAAATCCAAATTCTACAGGGTAATTTGTGAAGGATAGCTAGAACTCTTAAGCAGGAACCAAAGCTATTCTTGACAGGTAGAATTTTCTTTTTCAAGGAAATCCAGTTAAATTCTGAAGACCTATCAGCTGCTTGAATCAGGACAACACAGATTAACTGGGAAAATCTCCTTTATTTAAAGGCACCAGCTTATGTGTCTTAATCATATCTACAAAATACTCTCACAATGACAATAAGACTAGTGTTTTATTTAATTAATGGGGTTGGTAACCCAGTTACCAAGTAGACATGAAATCACATCCCTTATCCCCCAATATCTCCCATTGCTATGTGTTCATCTAATTTCTTAAATGTACATGTAAGACTTCATATTTATGCCTATTAAATATGATTGCATTCATTTTGGACTATTACTCCAACTTCCTGATTCATCAATGATTTAATTAGTCATTCGTTTTATTTTTGATTTTCTTACATTTCCATTTATTCTTTCCTAATTTTCTGTCACACAAAATTTTGCCAAGCATCCTTTCTAATTTTTATCCAAGTTTGTTAGAAAAGTTAGTAAAGCAGGGCCAAGTTTAGAGCCTGAAGCCCACAATAATCCACCATTAAGCTCTAGAGTTCCGCTTACCTACTGAAAAATCAGATACAATTATGTATGAGATGGAGAAAATAAAATTTTATTCGCCAGATTTCCTGGTACAGTACACTATCCAATCCCACACAGAAGATTGGTGTCAATTCCGACTATTCAAGGATGAGGGGGAAAATTACACCACAAACCCAGAGAAAGCGATCTTGTCTTTTTTTTCTTTTACAAGAATGAGAACAAAGAGAATGGATGAAGAAATATAGACATAATTTATACACAAGCCAAAAAGATGGTTACTGACTG